GGTGTGCTCATGCTGGTTTCGCAGGCCACGCTTGTAGCCAGTGAAGATGGCCTTGCACCACAATCTGCGGCAGGGAGGGGAAGCACAGTAGGTTCTTGTCACGAAACACAGGACTGCCACGAAACACAGGACCGATCCGCCCCCACCGCCCGCCCAACTTATGAACGCTCGACTTACGAACGAGCTTCCAAAAGATATTTATTTTATTAACCGTCGATTTGTGAACACAACCGCGGCAACTATTTAGTTTCACACGCAAATGTACAATATTTCTTATTTGTGTTTAACAATGCGCCCTTCTTTTATTGAACCCTAACACATTTGATACTAACGCTGCCTGCATGTGCATTTAAATAGTGCACTATTGTGTTCCATCTTACGAACCCGTTCTACTTACGAACGGGGTTTGGGAACGGAACCCCGGTCGTAAATCGGGAAGCACCCGTAATGAGCAGACATTTCGTCTTCACATATTCCTCTTTTCACATTAAAACAAAGTATTTCTTACGCAAACCATCGGCTGAATGGCCTTCTGGGGGTGCATAATTTCAACAGCAGTGTCACCAGCATTACTTATTTAGTAATTTTACTCTCTTATTTAATGATACTCTCATTTAGTAATTATACTTTCCACGACGCGAAATATAGTTATAAAATTCTCGTAAGTTCGACAGACAGCGGGGGCCCCCAAGCAATCCTCTTCAAGAGTGTTGTTCATTAATTCGTTATTTTTCCTCCCAGTTTTATGAGGATTTCGCTATAGGCGTCGCGAGACGCTGCGATGCATTCGGACCGTCGGGCAGAGGGCAGTGCACCAGTAGGGTCCAGGGGAAGAAGCTTTCATCAGAGCTATCCTCCCTACTCTAGGTCTGCACTGGAAGCAGCACCTCTACTCTCGCTGTGTTCGTGGCATTGACCAAACTGATAGTAAATCAAGATTAATAGTTCATTACCGGCACAAGGAACATGCCAACGGATGTGGCTGCACTGCCCTCTGCTGGGGACGTTTTCCCCACGTGTAAAAGACGGACACGGGGCTGAGGTTCGGTCTAAGTTTATCAATCTGTTGCAAGATATTTTACAGCTGCAGTGTTGTCTACAGGCGCTTGCTAGTTATTTACAGCTCTTGCCATCGGGTGAAACTCCATATTACTATGACGGGGGCACGTAAGATTACCACACAGGGCCGGCAATGTGATACGCTCGAATGTTTGCATTGCACAGGAGGCACCAAACTCCCTGCCTAATAATCCACCATTCGACAACAATACAACAAAAACGCGCAGCTAATAATTATTAGTCAATCCGCTGTTGGGACGAGGGCCTCCCCACGCCGGCGGGAGGTGGGGCGATCCGACCACACTTCGACCACGCCGCTCGCTCAACGTGGCTCTGTTTAGAAGGCGGGCAGAACGTGCATGCGATTAGAGCGAGGGACGTTCGCTGCGGCTCCCGTCTGCTAAAGACGACGTGGCCCCGAAACCTACAAACACCGGGTTGGTGATTGCAGCCAACACTAATGGCACTATCCAGGCTCAACGACCACTTGGGCCCTCATCTTCCGATACCGGTGGCGTTGAAGCGGCGACTTGGCCACGCACGGGGCAAAAACAGGCGCGTACATTTAATTGCCGCTAAATAAATTGAACGATTTAAAACGTGTCAAGTTTTAGTTTTTATGGTGCGCGGTTTTTTTTTGGCAATCACACGTGGACGCGGCCTATCGAGCACAGGCTTCGCCTAGCAGCAGCCAACACGGTCAAGCACTCACGCCCGCCACCGATCGACCGACGTTGAAGCGATTTACGAACAAACAACAAGGCGGATAAAATGTTGAATGGAGTAGAAGAGAGCGTACCTGCCAGACATCGCGGCGCTGTAGTTTTCTCGATACCTAACGGGAGTGATAAACACGAGAGAGGGGGGGAGGAGGTGGTTAGCGAAACGCGTCAACACCGCCGACTCCAATCCATTCTCAATCGCGGTCAACGCGTAGCCATCCGACCTCGAGTCGCCCACGCCGACGATCGTGAAGACGTCGGCGACCGTGGCGCGTCGCTCTCGGTGTCGGAGGCGAGCGGGGAGAGCCGCGGGAGAGGCGGCGGCGGGGTGAGGCTCACCTCGGAGCGGCGATGGAAGCCTCCGTTCGAGTGCGGGAGCGATGGCGGAAAGGAAAGGGTCCTTGCGCGGGCGTGACGTCACAGAGGTGGCCGCGGCGAGGCGCCTGTGAGGTGCCTGTGAGGTGCCTGTCCACAATTACCACCCTACTACCCCCCTTAGGGCCGTCCATAAATGACGTCACGCATCTGGGGGGGGGGGGGGTCAGACATTTGTGACGATGTGTGACGAGGGCGGGGGGGTATTGAGAAATGTGACGTCACATCAATACAAATAAAATAAAAAGATGTTTTCATTTCATTTATTTAATTTAATTTTTCTACCCACGTAACTTTACCGAAATAACCAAAGAGTATGGATTCCTGCAGTCACGAAAACTTCAAATCTAGAACGTCACATCAAAATGCGTAACTTTAAATAAATATAGACAGCACGTTCTACTTAATTAAATAGACGTTTTAATAAATGTTTTCTCCTACAACATCAGAGTGCAGCGCCACATTAAATACGCACTACAATGACAATAGTTTAAAGCGATTTGAAGCATGTTTTATTTTCAAAATGGAAATATGGTTTTCGGGGGGTGGGGGGTAGAGCTTTGTGACGTCATATTTGAGGGGGGGGTCTGACCTTGTGACGCCGTGTGACGAGGGGGGGGGTCAAAAATCGTCCAAAATCGCGTGACGTCATTTATGGACGGCCCCTAAGTACAACTTACTTTGTTTCATCAAACCCCTATGTATTATTTACTTTGTTTACGATTGAGAACCAAAGGGGTGCGAGGCTGCAGTAAAAGCTAACAACAATTGCCCCGACCGCACATTGATTCTAAATGTGGAGGGGAAAAAACTAAAAAACCTGGGATCGAACCCACGACCTCCTGCGTAACCAGGCGAGGTAGTTAACATCTCACCACCAGAAGCGGTGAAGTTAGTTACCAGCCAGGAGATCGAACCAGTAAATTTCAATACAATCCCATGTGATAACCATAGCGGTGGAAATACAATTACTGTTATTTTTTTCGATTTAAAGCTTTCGTGACTGCAGGGATTCATCTTCTTGGTTCTTTCGGTAAAGTCACGTAGAAGGGAAGTAATAAAATAATAAAAATAAAACATAATAAAATAAAATAATTCTCACGACGTTTCGGCTACAACGCAAGCAGCCGTCTTCATTCTTCACCTGAAGACGGCTGCTTGCGTTGTAGCCGAAACGTCGTGAGAATTATTTTATTTTATTATGTTTTATTTTTATTATTTTATTATTTCCCTTCTACGTGACTTTACCGAAAGAACCAAGAAGATGGTATTTTTTTCTTAACCTTTTATTAAATCCTTTATATTAAGTTTGCTTGCTTGCTTGCGTGCTTGCTTGCTTACGACCGTGCAAATCTTTCGGTCGTTTTTAACCCACTTCCCGTGATCCAATCGAGCTGACATTTTGCACACAGACTCGTTGTGCGTGACAATTTATTTTCGTGAAATTTTTTTCCAAAATTTTACACTGTTTAGGGAAAACAAATTAAATATTTAATTACCAATTGCTTAATACTGGCAGACAATCATCTGACCAATAGGTGGCAGCCATCTCAAGCCAGAGGACGAGAGGACTCTAGCCGCCACGTATATAAAGGATTTATAGTGAAAAACTTTGTTTTTACGGGTTATACTTATTTGTATTAAGCTCACCGAATTGCAACTTTACAGATTCAATTGCTCCGGCTGCTGCCGTGGCAACAACCGGGATCGATTGTCACCCAGTACTGGCCCAGACGCGCGGGTGTTTGACCATACTTCACCACGCCGGTTGAGGTTGGTGCAAGCGGCAATCACAGAATCGGCTCAAGTACCACTCGCGACTGATGTTAGCCGTGGGCAGGAATCGAACTCGGGCCGCTGGGTTTATTGGGAAGTGAGTGCTAACCAATGTTCCACCGCTCCACCAATATTTAGAGTATTTGGCTGCTATACATTTCCACATCAGCCACTTGGTTGAGCTATCATGTGGCCAAGGCACCTTCTGAGAAGGCCCAAAGACCATTTTTAGCTCATTCGGCCTTACCTGGTAAATTAAATGATAAATCTTACAATGCTCAGATTCCAAGACACGGCACGAGAGGTTGCAGAGCATCCCTGTAATCCAGCAGTGGAGGTGACGGTTGGTGGCTCACCGCACAAATGAGGTGCCATACCCTGGCTTTCCAGGAGAAGGCAGTACAGCAAGTTGACTAATCGTCATCTGTTTCCATCTGTACGGAGATGTAGTGATTCGCCGTTAGCGCGCGTGTGGGTATTCTCCCACGTGTAACACATTCCTGCGGAGGGAGCTGGTAGGAACGTTGGGTTGCTCGGTCAATGGCCAGGGTCAACGGCGGCGTGGTGTATTCCGCAAATATGGCCGACTGTGAGGGCGGGCACAAGCCGGTGTGAGTAGGTTAAACGTTGAGTTTTATAAGGGCACCACGGGGTGACCAGCCCCTGCCCACCCAGCCCCACCCCTCCCACCCCCCACCCAGCCTCACCCTCCCCATCCAGCCCCCCACACCCTCCCCACCCGGCCCCTCCCCACCCAGGCCCTCCCAGCCCCTCCCCACCCAGCCCCTCCCCACCCTCCCCACTCAGCCCTTCCCCACCCTCCCCTCTCTACCCAGCCCCACCCCTCCCATTTTTGGATGCACGACGGACGGACACAATAATCCCCTGTGGGCTGGTGTAACCAGGAGGTTCCTACCAGTATAAACTCATCATCAACCTTAAACATCTTCAAATAAAACCCAATGCAAGACCATCCTGAAAGAGCCACGACGACCTGAGGTGGCTTTACCGCATAAGTGAATTACAATTATAACGCAAGATACAATTTCAAGCATGACAGCAAACAAATAAAGAACATTTTTGTTTATTCAAGTTAAAACAGCTGGAGTGGGTCTGCTGTTCAGTACAATGTACATATTTACAACGCGGTGGGGGCTGCACTGTGGTACATCATCAGAAGCAGGTCGATGAACATGAGGCAAGGTGAATTGAATCATTAATCCATGAATGCCGTGTCCCCCCCGAAGCACTGGGCAGCCTGCGAGCTCAATCCGAGATCCGCAAAAGCCGCATTAGAGCACAGAGATCCGCGTTCTCGTTATAATCACACAGTGCACCCAAATACACGGGATGGCACATTCACAAGGGACACCCAAAGTGTCATGTGCAGGGTCACCACCGGGCGAGTTAAGGGTGAAGAGTCGTAGGCATATTCTTGGATCTTTCTTGGTTATTTCGGTAAAGTCACGTAGAAGGGAAGTAATAAAATAATAAAAATTATTTGTATTATTTCCCTACGTGACTTTACCGAAAGATCCAAGAATATGAATCCCTGCAGTCACGAAAGCTTTAAATCGAAATTTAGTCGTAGGCATGTTTGCGAATAATGAATTGAAATAGCTTCTTCCGCTTAGGAAATATCAAAGCGTGTGTCATGTAATTGCTTTTCGAGTTGTCGAACGTTTTAGGCTCACACTTCTTACCGGCTGATTAGGCATGTAATGGCGCACTGATGAATACATTGAGAGATTAATCAAACTGTGCCTGCGATAATTGAATATATTATGCAAATTTTACGAAAATTACACATCGGGCGCGTTTAGACTAAAAACAAAAACTGCACACACACACTCGAGACAGCAACAAAAAAACGAAAAATATAAAACAAAAAATATCGTAAAATTTCAAACATTTAAAATACATAGAATAACGACCATTTTTATATATTAAAAACATTCTGGAGCGAATCATTACATGCCCAATGCAGACGAACGCCTCTCGCATGCCCGCACCTGTGCCGAATGCTCATGGCGAGGATGATATTCGATGCCCATGCGTCATTTAAGAAAGGACGGCGTTTATGACACTTGGCCACTGGACCATGCTTGCACAAACACACTGCACTGTGAATTACTGCATTCAGTTATAACAAAGTTTTTTTTGTACGTGGTGTAAACTGATTTATTATCGATAAGAGTAGAATAAACTGTTGTCACTTGGCTTTACAGAACCTAATTTATAATAGAAGTTATTGATAATTGCTCGTTTCGGTAGTCATATGGATGGTTTTATGATTTAATTTACAGCCCCTCGATAATACACTGTTGAATGAAGGCCTTTCCATGCCGTGGGTGTGATTGGACCATACTTCACCACGCTGGTCAGTATTACAGCTGAGCATTACAGGACAGGAGATTTTGCTACACTGCACTCTCCTGACAATGTACCAGAGGTCGCAAACGGGTTTTGATTCCTTACCCGTACCCGGCCGCACCAGGGTCGCAAACGGGTACCCGTATCCGTACCCGGCCGTACCAGTACCCGGCCGGGTACGGGTAGGGTACGGGTATCGGGTACCTGATTGCGACCTCTGGGATGAAGCCATGTTGCAGGCGCGGGTGGGTTGATTCTAGGAACTTGAATTGTGAGAAGAGACAAGACGTTGGGAAATGAGTGACATTCAGTTACTCACCAGTGACTCACGGTCTACCCGTACCCGGCCGCACCAGGGTCGCAAACGGGTACCCGTACCCGGCCGGGTACCGGTAGCCGGGTATCGGGTAGGGTACGGGTATCTTGTACCCGGTTGCGACCTCTGCAATGTACCCTCACAACCTATAACACCTTGTTGGTGGCCACCCCCATCCAGGCTCAACTCGACTTTGCTCCTGAGATTCGAACCGGTTCAGATATCGCTCCCCGCTGATGTTAGCGGGAAGTGGAAATCGATCTAACTACCGCACCACGAGTCTACCCCAACAATTGTATATATTAATAATTTCCCAACACTCTAGTTATAACTTGTATCTAAAGTATAATTAGGGGTTTTGTTAAACCATGCGAGCTCGCTCGGAGGGGCAAGGCGGTCTCCACAACAAATCCGTCTTCTCCCGCGAGTGGTCACGACTGCGTCCATGCATTCGGTTGCACTTTGTGACCGTGCACGAGGTCACCACGGCTGCGAGCTTTTTGCCAGCATCGCTCGGTAGCCACTGGGTGTGTGTGTGTGGCTACCCGTGTCGCTGTGCCCACCGACAATGCATGGCTGGCTACTTTCGCCTCTGGTGATGTAAGTCAATCAAACATGCAGACTTCCCAAGTGGGCATTGGCTGGTGGTGGGAACACTGTGGCCACCCGTCGTTTTGATTCGAGGCTGATGATGGCATTGACCCCTTTAGCCTCTGGGCTTTGGCAGTGACCACACCACAGTTACGGTCTCAGCGTGAGCATCTTTTTTTTGGCTATCCATCGAACAAAGACGGTCACCGACTGCATCGCGCGCTTTCAGACGCGCTACTGCGGCCGTCTGGAATGCTCTTCCCTCCGATAGTAGGAATCCACTGGGAGCTCCACACTTTTACATCTAGATGGAAATCTTGTTTTCTTCGAACTACTTTGATAGTATTTACGTTTTGCTGTGCTTACCTCCCGCACCACCGCTTAGCACGGTTGGCTACGTACGGTGCGAAAGAAAGTTCAACGTACGTACACACATACATTAAGTGCTCCTTGCGTGGTGTTTAACCCATGCGGCGTATGATAAGCGTAATTGCCTTAAATATACACGACACGACCCACACACGTTGTAGTTTTTTTTTGGAACACGTAAAAATACACCGTGCGCATAGGCGAAAGCATACCTGGTCAATTTATCCAACACTTTCTAACGGGAGTCGAGTATACTTGTAAACGCGTAGCGTCGAGCGCAGGCGGATTGAGGAGTCGAGAAAGCCGGGAAGGGGGGGGGGCATGGGGGGACGTGGGGGGTGGGGAGATGTGGGGGCTGGTGACATGGGGGGACGTGGGGGGTGGGGAGATGTGGGGGGTGGTGGGGGGGTCATCGACCGCGGTGAAACCCAAACGTGGAGTTAACGACGCCGTGGCCCTTCGCGCACTGCCGACGGACACGGCTCCACAAGCGCAGCAGTGCGTGGGCTATAGAAGCTCCCAGAAACACATTGCATATGCTGTAGGCACTTTTTTGTTTGTTTTGAAACTGCTTAACGACAAATTAAGCACTGAAGAAGTTGGTGGGGGGGGGGGGAGGAAAGAATGCAAGAAATGCATCCGATGACAATTGCTTTAACGAATTATGTCGGTTAGACGATTCACACACACACAGAACGGAACACATTGTGTGGTACAATCTATGGGCAGGTGATTCCAAATCTCTCTGGACCAACTTATTTTGCGCCCCAATAACGTACCCTTTTCCATTAAAACGACCGAATCGTAGAATCTGCAAGAAATGTCACGAAACTCTTCCGACGGCATTGACCAAACGAGCATGCCGTGGCCCACGGCCCAAATGGTTGGGAACCACCGGCCAACAGCTATGAAACCCAAGTGAACGGACGGACAAGCTTTGGTCAAAATGTCGCATTGGTGGAACTTGCACTGGGTAAGGCATGATATCGATTGGGAGGAATTGTTGGGGAATAACGTTTCTTTAACACGGGGGAATACCTTTTAACACCTTCCGTTATTATATATATTTTAAAAATGTATCTCTTAACCAGAGCCATGCACTCATGATCTTGTCACTGAACACTAATGTTCAACAGAGTAGAGGACTCTGGGCCCACAAGGTGAGCCACCTGCTAAACATTTAAAGTTGTGCTGAAGTGGGTAAGCCGTCTTTTTTGCTCATAAAACAAAACGATGTTCACAAACGTGGTATGAACGTTTTCGAACGTAATTTTCCATCATTTGGAATTCCGCTACTCGGTGTACGGTAAATTCCGTGGAATTAAAAGCAACTGCAGGTCGATAATTGTGCATAACTAGTGGCCTTCCCGACAACGCACGGATGTGAAAACACATCGTGCTGTTAAACCCCCCTCCCCCCTCCCAATGGTTTCGCGGCCCTCACACTCACACTGATGGTGTCTTATTGGCCCAAGTGGACATCTGCACCGCCCAACAAAAGCGCATTTCGCCGTGGCTGTATGCGCGAACACCAACTCTTTGGTGTTTGTTGGCGGTTTCGAGTCAACACATTAGGTTGAGTCAATCCGTTGGAAATACATTGAAAACAAAACGTTTCAAAACCAGCCACTGTCACGCACAAACAAAAAAAATGAACTCGGAAACAGGACGTGCTGATATCGTTACTGTCGATTGACGAAAACCGAAAGAACGACAGATTTCCCCCCAAGGGAGACGATTATCTCTGCGATGGGGAAAAAAGATCCCAAAGTTTACACCAAAAGTTCCCTCCACTCGGTTCCTGCAGACGCCTTTCACACAGTTGGGCTTTTTGTGTTTTGTGCCATGAGAGTTGATAACACTGGTCAACAAAAAAATAACATTTTTTTCTGGCCTGGACTTTTGCAGCTGTTTTAGACTAATTTCAGGGTGCTGATTCCAAATCTGATCTCAGATTTGCTCTTATCACATCTCATACCCCATTTTCATTGATTTTACCCGAAATTAACTCTGTCACTTATGATTGCAAGTTGTTGCGATGTCAGTGACTGCTTTAGTGTTAAAACATGGTGCTGTATTTTTAGGATAGTGTATTTATAATATAATTTCATGTAGATATCCACATTTATTTAATATTTTTCTTCTGCAGTTTTGATTGAAAATGCAATATTTGATATCTCAAAAACCTGATGTGATAGACAAAAACTGATGCCAGATTTGGAATCAGCACCCCAAAACGATCTTAAAACAGTTGGAATACCTTATGCCAGAAAAAGTGTGTTGACCAGTGTAATTCGCGCCTCGACTTGGCATGCGGAGGTAAATGCTTCTTTTTAACCACGTGTGTGCTTTAAGGAGGGGGGAGGAACACTTCTCGATTGGGTTTATATTAAAAAAAACTTGAGCACTAACATCTGATACAAGATCTGCATTACTTATCACTTACAGATTTGCTCTTAACGTGAGCACAGCGATACATACAAAATAAGCAATAGACACACTGTCAGACTCGTTGTTACATCTTATGGATAAGGTTCAGCTCGAGTTGGGATGGAGATGGAAAATGTGTTCATGAAAAGGGAAGTCGAGCGAGGAGGTGGAATGTTTGAAATGACGGTTAAATACGTGACATGAAGACCGTTGTGAACAGCGCACACAAAGTTCGGCATACTTGCATAGCGGACACATTTACCGCTCCGACTGACTGCTGCTAGGTACACAAACCACACACAAATCCACACGCACGCGTGTTTTCCTTAATCCACGAGCACGCGTCCTTGCAACAACAATCCCGCCTTGGGTGCGAAGCATATGCAGGAGCAGTTTTGATTCAAATAATGCACACGGAAATAACTGCTCGTGCCTGCCAAGTGTGAAATCAACCGACGGAATCTGTGGCGTGACATGACACGGGCGCTCAAGAGGAAAGTGACGCGCGTGTTGTTCGAGGCCGCTTCGTGGGTTCAAGAAGCCGGGCGCGGGGAGGAGGGCACCGGCAGGGAAAGACTCCAGAGACAAGCGATGGGAGGGGGCAGGGGGGGCAAGAGGGTCCAGACAAGACGATGGAAACAAGGCGACTCGTGCAGAGAATGGGGTGACAGGTAAACACCGCAGGCACGGGGAAGATCACGGCCGAGAAAGCCGCCCATCGTCTTGGCCGACGGCCCTTCTCTCGTGCCTTCACACCACGAGGTGAGGATCGCACGGGCGGACCCACGGGAGGACCTCTCCTCTGCTGGAGTTTGGCCACCGCTTTGCCCGATCACCGGGGGGGAGGGGGCGTGGGGGAGCTAGCGAGCGTGGGCCATCTCCAGCAGGGTCTGCACCGTGAGGCCCACCTTGGCCAGGCCCTTCTCTTCCAGAATGTCATGCGGCAGGCAGAGGCGCTCCTGGCCGTGATGGAGGGACGGTCGCATGCAGGGAGGGATCGGGAGGAGGGGGGCGTCACGGACACGGGGCCATGTTAACGAGTGAGGAACATGCTTTTAATCACGGCGACCGGCAAACAGGTGGCTCCACGGGTGGAATTACGCTCGTGGTAATACCCTACATCGAAAGTGAACAAAACGTTGTGCCAAAGATGGAGTTACGGATATTGGTTATAGAAGGGCTAGAATTTGGTGGGCTGGTTTGATTTGAGTTCGGGGCAAGGTGAGGGTCTGGTTGGCGTTTTTTTTTTACCGCAACGGACTTTTCACTCTGTTGTTGTTGTTCACTTCTCGGTTTCGGTGTTCGCACGGCGGCAACGCACGCGGTCTTTTTTGTTGACGCGCGGGCGTCGAAGGCCGCGTGCGCAAGGCAACGAAAGCGATGTGCTTCAGCGCGCCCTTCGAATGCTTTTCCCAGTAAAACAAACGCATCGAATCGCCAATTTCGGAGCATAATTCCCCCCGGGCCAGTGGAACCTTGTTTGCACTATTTATAGTAAATGACAATTAGAATGAACCAAAAACATCGGGGAGAAATATTACTGCACTTGTACCAGAGCGTGCACGCACACCGGAGGTTAGTTTGGCCGAGGCATGCGATCGGACAAAGCGCAGCGGGCGCTAGGAGCGACCTGTGTTTTAAAGGCCGCGTGGTGTCGCAGTGGACCCATGGAGCGCTGTAGATGTACAACACACCGGGGCGATCACAGCGAACCATGCGCCACTGTGGGTGCCAGTGCAGCGATCGCAAGGGGTCGCAAGGGGTCAGAGGGGCTATATTTACGGCTTTTGACTATCGAACAAAGACGGGCACCGCAATCGCGCGCTTTCAGCTGCGCTTCTCCGGCCGTCTGGAACGCTCTTCCTTCCGATATTAGAAAGCCACTGGATCGATGCACTTTTAAATCGTCTAGATCGATAACTTAATTCTTTAGAACTGCATATTGTGCTTAGTTTATTGTCCTTTTCCCCCGCAGCTCCTATGAGCACGGTGGGCTACGTACGGTGCGAAAGAAGTTCAACATACACACATACGTACAAACGGCCGCGTGCTCTCGGCAGGGTCAGCTCCGAAGCCACCGCAATTCGGCTCTGCGGATAGGGCAGCACCACCATGGGGGCCGTCCGTCGGGGGCGGTGGAAGGTGATCTTTTTAAAACGCAGGTCCCTCTCCGTTCTGTTAGTCGCTGGTCTCAAGCGTACCAAAGCAAAGCAACACTCAAGCAGTGGAGCAGGAAAAGGCATCATTTTCAGGGCGCAAGCGTGAAAGCGATCTCAGAGCGTCGACGCGGCTGGATCGCTCTCCGCTGCGCCGCACGCGATTGTATTTCGCTGACATTGCAACACTTCCCACTTTTTATCTCTGCACAAAGGGTTTCTGGGTTCAAAACAACGGACACCGGCTCAGTCAGGACTCGGGGGGGGGGGGGGGCAATGCATCGACGGCTCCCGTCGCACCGACAGCCGACCACACACCAGCGTCACGCTGCGTTACATCGCGAGCAATATCCCATCTTCACAAGTGGTCGGGAAACCTTAGCCCAAACCCCCCCCACACCCCTCCGTTGGGAAAATGTATGTCGATTGCACGGTGGACATCAAGAGAGGGCCTCTTTAAGGTGCCCTACATTCATATCCGCGTTAAGGTGCGAAGAGGAGCACGTTGCATATAGAAAGAGCGGATCAGCCAACCGCCGAGGGCCACAGCAGCAAGAACAGGCGCTTGTAGTGACGCCTCGTGCACGGCCGCTTCCACACCGACCACTCGGCCACTCTTAGCGGTTTTTTTTTTACTCCCGACAACCAAAGCATTTAAAGTTAGCAGAACCGCTCCGAAGCCAACCTGTAACCGGCACTTGGCCAAGGTCGCCTACGCCGAGTCTCGCACAACCCAGGACTTGCTACTCGGTCTCTCGTACGGAGAGGAGAAACCGTGCGACGAGTTGTGCGGCGTTAACCAAGTCCCCCAAATTTTCCCAGGGGGCACGACTTCATGAACGCGCCGCCGCCGCTGCAAGCCGCTGTGGCCGTGAGCGGCGAGCGTTCCCTAGCTTGACGCGCGGTCCAACTTTTCCAGGAAAGCGCTGAATGGAGGTAACACCGGGGAGAAAGTACGGCCCGGTGAGAGCGGCGTTCGATGGAGAGATCCGCGCTCTCAGGCTTTGACCTCCCCCGAGGTTAAAGCCCGTGAAAAGTGGGCGAGTGGTCGTGGAAGGAAGCCACTGCGGGAGCGTGCGAGGTTTTTTTTGGCAACAAGGAGAGGCATGGCGGAGTTCCACTGAGATCGTTTCACAACTATGGCTGCAGAATTCTACTGTAGTAGTGCTTTTAAAGAAGAAACAATAACTCGTGCGAGAGCTAACATTTAAGTAGGCACGGGCGAGCCTTTAGTGAATTAAGAAAAACACAACGGACCATCACTTTTAAATCTCGCCTGAAAACGAATTTCTTCAGAACTGCTTTTTGTGTTCAGTTTGTTGTCCTTCCCCCCCCCCCACCCCGCACCTCCGATTAGCGCGGCCGGCTACGTACGGTGCGAAAGAAGTTCCACGCACGTACAGCACGCAAGACGTCAAAAGTTGGGCTCTGTGTCCTAACGGAGGTCGACCGCGTGGAGACAAACGGGCAAGGGGGTGAGAGGCGGCAGCAGGCGGCGAGGAAGGCACCGCTCCGGCCGTGAACACGACGTCTCGTCCGCCGTAGCCGTTGTGAACGTCCGCCAAAAGCAGAGCGAGAGGGAGAATGTGAAAGCACCCCCCCCTCCCCCTTTCTCCCCACCACGTGGGGCAGCCACGTAGGAGAAGCGTCTGCTTTTCGGCGAAAGTCGGGTCAGCTTTCGCTCATTTTGTCTCTTTGCTCTGCTTTGCGAGTCCTCGTCATTGTTTTTTGATTAATCGTAAATGCTAAGTGCAAAGCTTGGAATGGCTGTGTGCACGCAACGACGGGCGGACAGCGGGGAAACAGGAGGACTAAGGGGTGTCAGCCGCTTCACTAAGGAGGTACGCGGAAAGGGGGGTTGGTGCGGAGGGCGGAAACGGGAAGAGATGCGGCACGTGGGGACACGTGGGAGAACGACACGGGGAGCAACACGAGGATGCTTGGAGGACAGCGGGCACGGGAGTGGACATGGGGAGGGGGAGATGATGGTAACCCAAAGTCAGACAGGATGTGTCACGCCAAAGTGAAATTAGTAGTGTGTTAACTTTAAATAAAGACTGTGAAGCCGAAACAAAACGGTGAGTCACTGTACAAAAGCAGAACAGAGTGGCGTATATAATGCATGCTTGGCATACGATTATATTTAACTATAAATAATGTAACAAAAACAACAATACAACTTGAATGGAATAAAGTGAAAGGGGTGGGGGGGGAGGGAAACATTACTGTACACGATATTAAATACGATGTTTACGGTGATGGGAAATTACACAAAGCACTTTATAACATGTACACCATGCTTGTCTATAAATAAATATGGGCATCATTTATTGCGCGATGCGTTTAGAAAACTTTGGCAGAAGACGACCAACAAGTAGAGGAGGAGGAGGATGAATGGACGAGGAGGAAGAGGACAGCGGACACAGAGATGTGCAGCACAATGACGGGAGGGTGAAAAGCCTTGGGGGGTGCGAACGCGACGAACCGACCCAGCCCGCACGGCTGGAGCCGGTGACGCAGCTGAAACATCGAGTTGGGGGGGGGGGGGGGTGGTGGCGGCGAGCGCAGCCGATCACGCGCGAGCGTTCGCCAAAGCGGCAGAGTCACGGGGCTGCAACGGAGCGTGTCATTGACGACTGCGCGTATATGCCGGCGCGCCGATTGCCTGCCCGCGGCCTCCTCCAGGGGCAGCAGTCGGGGGTCGTCTCCGTCGTGACGAGGGCCCTGGACCTGCCTCTCGTGGGGCCTTCGAGAGCGGGGGGCACGGGGGGACCTCCGACCGCAGCAAGCACCCCCGACGGCGCGCGAGCGGACGTATCGGCGCTAGAACAGGGAGACCCCGTGCAGCGCGTAGAGCAGCATCAGCATGGCGAGGAGGTAGAAGAGACAGAAGCCGACAAGCTCGTGCACGGGCCGGCGGCCCATCAGAGGGATGGCCACGAGGGCTGCGTCAGCGTCGGCGCCCAGCGGCCGCGGCTCGGCCTGCTCGAGCAGCGCCGACACGGTCACGTGTATGGCCGACAGGTTCCCCTGCGTCACCTCGTACGGCGAGCACAGCGCCGACTGCACACACGCGGTGGGGTGGGTGGGAGGAGGGGGGGGGGAGGGGCGGTGCGTTCGGGGTGGCACAGGGCAGCCGGAGTGCACGATGGGAGGCATGCAGGGGTGGGGGGGAGGGAGGGGGGGGCGACGAGATTCGGGTCCCAAACACGGAAAGTTTGGTGAAACACAAGACCAACGGAGGGAGTGAGAGGATTACAAAGGGGGAGGGAGGAGTACCGCAGGCTCGAACGGAAAGGAAGGGACACCCGGGGGTGGTGGTTTACATCATGCATTGAGGGAAAAGACAATTGAATGAGTTCGGCATTCAATTAAATTAAGATGGGTTGCAAAGATGGGGTGGGGGAGCGGCGGGGGGCAGGGACGAGACAGAAAAAACAAAAACACATTTATTAGTAACATGTGCAACGCTCGGAGCGCGACGGAGACTGCCAAGCCGCTCCTCGTAGAAGCTCGTTAGGCGAATAACGGCGTCGAAACGCCGCGGTGGCGTTAGGAGCTAGCGCTGACGCAGACTCTGCTTGGCACATTGAACAAAGCGCTCGCCCGAAGACAAAACACGAGACAAATGCTTATCAAAACGAGCACGCCGTACGAAATGTCACGCCGGTCCCTGTCGGGTTTCAGACTTGTTCTTTTTTGGGCAGAACAATGACGGCGATGGATTATAAACCGCTGCCGAAAACGAGTCAAACTGGGAAGGAGCATGCATCTGGATTACATTGTAAGCCTCACACTGCTCCCACTAACTTTTGTTACCCTTGACCCACGATAGCATGCTTCACCATGCCGCTCTGCTGCTGCCGACATCTCAAAATGCGGCAGTGTGTGCCAGGACAAAACTGCCCACGTGGCTTGAGAAGGTCGAAACTGGTCCTGAGTTTGCAGGCATCAACAAACGCTGCTGGCTCCAAGGGTGACGAACTAAAAACATAATTTTCACGTGGCGACACGAAAGCAAATTACGTATCGTAGTATTATCCATAACAGCAGCGGCACATGTTGAGTTTGTTTTATAAAGCTGCGACTTTGTATTTCTTATGGCCTTTGACGACGGTCTGAGAGTAGAAAAAGTATAAAACGTGACCGTAAACCCACTGCTTCGTTCAAGGCCGCCACCCGTTCGCAACGTTACCTTGGGAACGCCAATCCTTTTACAGGCGTTCAGGAAACTCTCCACGTTTTTTCTGCACTTAGTCATCGAGAGTTGCGGCTACAAAAAGAAACACACAAACAAAAAACCACCACAGACAGACGATCAGAATATGACAACAGGCTCTTGGACGTCAGCTGGTTTCGGAGCATCGAGGGCCTCGCAAGCCTTCCGATTGACCAGCCCAGGGGTCGGCAACCAAAAGAACAAGAAGAGTAATTTCTTTTAGACGTTACGAGATCCACCGGGAAATATGGTCGAGCGGCCCTGGTGTGGGGTGGGGTGGTGTCGATGGGGGGGGGGGGGGGGGGAGGGAGTGGGGGGCACGCACCACGGCGGGGGACGGCTCGTAGATGATGGGCACGGAGCGTGGGCGGACGTGATTGGCGAGGTTGCACAGCATCACCCCGTCCATGAGCGCCGAGCCCATGTCGAGGGGGAGGCATCGGTTCAGCCGCGACTCGATGTTCTGCGCACACGGCACCGTGGGGGAGCGCACGCACCCCCCCCGCACGCAACGGCGTGAGCGGCAGGGACGCGACGGCTTGCGACGGCAACCGGCGCAGCGCGTGACGCGACGCAAGGCGCCGGCACGAAACGCACCGCGGCAAGCGACGCGGATATCCACTTCCATTGCCGAATGAATGCGAACAAACAACTGTGATGTCTCGTAAAAAAACACATTTCTCGCAGGTCATTTCTAGCAGACGTCTTAGATGTGTACATGGGTACGGCAATGCGTCTGTGTGTCGCTGGCCCAGTGATAGGCATTGTTGTGGGGAGCGGGTAGTGTAGTTCGATTCCCGCTCACGACCAACCCCAGTGACGATTATATATCTGAACCGGTCCTGGGCCTCCTCCCCTAGGCGAGTACCTGGTGCGGTGTGTAAAACCGCCTCCACTGGGAAGATGAGGGCAGCCGGGCGTGGTGCTGGCCACCCACCCCCTCGTGTGCCGTGCCGGCCTTCATAGGTGCCCGCTAACAGCACTTGCCCCAACAGTCTGTTGAGGCTATACGGGGGACTGTTGTCTTTGTCCTTAGCACACCCCCCCCTCTACCCCCACCTATGCCTCACCTCCCTCAGCTGCTCGATGAGTTTGATCTCCTCTTTCATCTGCTCCATCTTCCTCCGCACAGTGAAGTTGGGGTTCTCCGGTAACAGCGGATGCAGCCGGCCCTTTTGCAGGCTGAACGCTGTGAACAAGACGAGTCAACGGATTGTATCCATCTGTGGATTTAGTTTATGCTGTGGATTGAATCGATCTGTGTGGAGCTTTTGAGTGTTATCCCAAATCATTAATGAAACCGATTACATTTAACAGGCATGTAACAAATTGGCCCTCTTGCACATCACATTCATTTTTAATACATCCAGCGTCTCCGAGTAAGTGCAAGGGCAACTATGAACACCGCGGTATCAAATGAATGAAGTACCAATGAATGAATCAATGCGTCGTCGCATGCCCACAACTTAAAAAACAATAACCAACACAATGCACATCCAGCCCTTGACGAGCTCTGCTAGACACGTGCGCCGTGCGTACGTACTGGACGTTGAACTTCTTTCGCAGCATACGTAGCCAACCGTGATAATCGGAGGTGCCGGTGGGGGAAAAACACGGAGCGTTATAGGGCAGCGAATCCACACGGCGGAACCTCGCGTGCCATTATTGGCAACGGGGGAAGCAGGGGGGTGGGGGTGGCGGTGGAGCAGCTGGGAACACGCGGTTTTTGATCACCGTCGATCAGCGTGACAGCACCGCCCGAGCACCGCTAATCTCTCCCCGGCTCCGGTCAAAACGGACTCCGCTTCGGTCGCTCCGGACGGCAGCCACCACCCCCCCCACCTCCAAAAACCAGGGCGGCGCCACCTACCCTGAGAGTCGCCGGTCGGGGTGGCGGGGGCCGGACGGGGGGCTCCCCCATCGGCGCCGTTCTGCGGCCTCTGTGCCGGGGGGGGGCGCCGCGGGTTTCCGTGGCCGTTCACGCGTGCGGCGGCGGCTGCAACGGCGGGGCATGGCGCTGCTGGTGGCTGTGGCGGTGCGCTAGCGGGCAGTGGCGCAGCGGCTGATTTTAGGAGTGGGCGAGCGAGCGAGCGAGCAAGCGAGCGAGCGGGCAGCCGGGGCGAGTTCGAGGTGAGGGGGGGGCATGCAAGGCAGGGCAGGGTTAGGGCAGCAGAAGGCAGGGCAGGCCAAACCAAAGCAAGACGGAAGCACGCAAAATCACGCACACGCGTGTGTAGACGTTGTGTGTTTAAGGGATAAGGTGACCGATATTGAAAAATGGTTGCAGATCCCAGCACAGGAGTGAAGTGCATCATTTATAAGAGAATGGTGAAGGGAAGGTACAAGTTCAGAGTGCGAACACAGATGGAGTTTTGTTAAGTGTACTTGGATGGATTCAAAGGATCAGGTTGAAAAAGTGTCGAAATTCATTGTTCGAGTTCCGATGGAATTTCAGATTAGGGGGCATGCAAGACACGGATCAAAGGGTGAGATGAAAAAGATGGCGGCGTGAGGATTTTTACGTGATTGGTGGCGAAACAAGAGTTTTGCGGTCACAGTGTTTAAGTGCGTGTGAAATGGAGACATTTAAACACTGTTAGTAACCACAACACCTCGACGTTTGCTTTAGTCGACACAATACACAAGCACATGGCACACCGATGAACTCAAGCCGTGGTGCGTGGACGCGCGTGAACGCCGGTGAAGCGCGCGCGCGCCGTACGAGTTCATACGCGCGACGTATGAACTGCGAGCGACCCGGAGCCCTACCTGAGCGAGGCTTGAGGCCAAACGGATGCCAGTCGCCACTGTGACTTGCCGCACGCTCCTGCGGGTGCGACACGCAGTCACAGCGCGGTCACAAAGCGATCACATTCACCGTCACAAAGCGGGGACATCGCGCTCGCAAATCTGACCAGGACGGCACGACCGCTCGCCAACGAGGGCAGCGGCCGCTCTCCGCGGGCGAGCAACTACTCACCCGGTCTAACGGCCAGGGCACAGGTGACGTACGGTCAGATTGCGAGCCGTCAGGAGTAGAGTGTACTCGGCATGAAGGTGAGAAGGAGGTCACCTGACACTACGGGTGGGTTAATGTGGGATGTCTCACCTGTGCTGGTGGTGAGGATGAGGAGGCTCGTGCTCCTGAAGGACCACTGCAAGAGAGGAACGGTGCACGTCAGGGGCTCGCGACGTGATCGTGGATCAAACGTCAAGATCGCGCTCGCCCTCCTCAAGATCCTCCGTGAGACCTCTCCCCTTCTCACCGCTTTCCATTTATCTCCAATTCCCTTCCAGCACCCTCCCACTTAACCCCCGAACCCCCGTCTGTGTGATCGTGCCAGGAGTGTGTGGTCGTGCCGGGAGTGTGTGGTTATGCAAGGGGTGTGAGGTCGTGCCGGGAGTGTGTGGTTATGCCGGGAGTGTGTGGCCGTGCAGGGGGAGTGTGGCTGCGTAGTCGTGGCTGTGCCGGCGAGTGCTGCCGTGTCTGGCGGGTGTGTCGCTCACTTGCTTGCCGCGGCGCTGCTGTACGCCCCTCCCTGTCCGGCCGCCATGGCGTGCTGAGACGATGGACTTGCGCTGCGGGCGGGGGAGCGCAAACGGTGCCGTCAGACAGACACTCCGACTCAATCGACCGTGCTTACCGAGCACGCCGCCACTTTCCACGGTGACAATCGTGACGGTGGCGGCGGTGGGCGTTGTCATCGACGACGACCACGGCAGCGTTGGTGTGGTGGCGTACCGGTCTCCTCCGTTGTCCCCGCCGGCCTGCGGCTCCCCCTCGGGGATGGAGTCCATCTTCGCGAGTTTCCTGTGCGCGTCGGCGCTGCCCTGCTCTCCGCTCGACGCCCCTTCCCACTGCACAGCACCACTCCTGGGACAAAGACAAAGACCCCCCCCCGCCCCGTACAGCCTCAACAGACTGTTGAGGTTAGCGGGCACCTATGAAGGCCGGGACGGCACACGAGGGGGTGTGGTTAGCCGACACCACGCCTGGCCACCTTTGTTTCCCGAGTGGCAATGTTCACACGTCACACCAGGTGCTCATTTGAGGCCGAGTCGACCGAGGGGAGGCCCAGGACCGATTAAGATAAATCGCCTTTGGTGTTGGCCGTGAGCGGGAATCGAACTCCGGTCGCTGGGACAAGACACAGAGCCATGCACGTGCCATACACGTGCCATACACGCGCCACACACCCTCCCCCTTCCGCTCAGCCGCCACTGCCAAAACAAGTCAGACAAAGCAGTCTGCCGTGCGCGCGCACCGAAAGCCATCTCTAACCAAACTCTTGCGCGCAGACGTACAAGTCGTTATTCATCCACAGGTCACAAGACGAGGCCTGGTGCCCGCACGCGCAGTCTCCACCCCCCAACTACTGGCTCCACGAAACCCACAACCAAAAACCACGGCCATCTCTACGGCTCAAACCGTGGCACGCCACAGCGTTTGCGTCCACGCCGATCTTCCCCCCCCTACCACCCCACCACCCCCCATCTCGTCCGCGAACATTTCACGCTGCCGTTAAGGGATTTACAAAACGCTCACCGGTGGGGCTCCATGGCGGGCGGCTCGCGCGAGTTCGACGTGGCCTCCGTCCTGCCCTGCAAGCAGAAAGGAGACGTCAAAGACAAATATCCCCCGAGTAGTCTCAACAGACTGTTGGGGCAAGTGCTGATAGCGAGCTGCACCGATGAAGGCCGCCACGGCACACGAGGGGGTGGGTGGTCAGCGCCACGCCCCGGCAGCCTTTGTCTCCCCAGTGGCGATGTTTACACAGGTACTCATTTGAGGCCGAGTCAACCTAGGGGAGGCCCAGGACCGATTCAGATAATCGTCACCGGTGTTGACCGTGAGCAGGAATCGAACTCGGGGTCGCAGGGTTCATAGCGCGGCGCATTAACCGCTCCCTAAAGGAGGCATCACTTTTAAAAATAGCTTTAAAACTAATTTATTAAGAACTGCTTATCGTGTTTAGTTTTCCACAATACAAGTTTGTTTGGGTTAGATCGCGTAAATATATAAATGTGTCGTTAAACACGCCACCACCCGACAGCCAATTTACGTGACAAACCTTACTAATTGGCTGTGTCGGGTGGTGTCGGGTTTAACGACACATCTATATTTACGCGATCTAACTAAAAAAACCTGTATTATGGATGATATTGGTCGCGAAAGCCTACGTGTTAAACTATGTTTAGTTTGTTGTCCGTTCCCCCCGCACCTCCGATTAGCACGGTTGGCTACGTTACGGTGCAACAGAAACAACTTCAACACACGTGCAGCACAACACACGTGCAGCACAACACACGTGCAGCACAACACACGTTCAACATACGTACAGCACAGAAAGAAGTTTGACACAGGTGCATACACACGGCCACGACGACCGGACCACGACGACCGGGCCCCGCAAATGGCATCCCGTCGCCGTGGCGTTGCGCGCTTTCGCCGGTTTTGTTGAAAGTGAGCGAGATGATTCGCTTCAGGAGGGGACGCACCACGACGTGGCCTGGGAGAGCGGCGGACGGCGGCTCCTTGACGGGCACCCCGGCGGCCTCGCGATCGCTTGCCGCGCGGTCGTGTTCGTGGCGCGCGCCTGTCAAGAAAAAAACAGCGTACGTCCTGTGAGTCGCGACGCGCGAGTCTTCGATTGCCCGTCGACGGTTCCCGGATTTCTGCGCGCAGCTCTGGCTCGAAAAGCGTTCGATGTGGCCGCTCCGAAGCGCTTCGTCTCTTGGCGTCCACCACCCTGCCGTCTCTGTCCTCAATGAAACGACACTACTGAGATATTATTACGTTGTTGTTTTAAAATCCGCAATTGTGGAATGCTCCGATGTCGTCTGCCAACCGAGTCGCCGCCAAAAAAAAAGCTCCTTAGCTCTTTGGGTTTTACTCGGTGCCAAATAACCTTCTGATTCTCTTCTTTAACGGAATGCAACATGTCAACTGCGTAAACTCCGATGGCGTGATGCTAAATGCGTTTGGGAGGATTGTTCCTCAATTCACCGCTGAGATAAAACAACACCAATTGGTGCGTTCTTCAACGTCTGTACGCGTGTACGCGTGCTGAAGGGTTCCCGAGTGACATCGATTTGATCAGATAACAATCACGGGCGTAGCTGTGGAGGAAATGAACAACGAAGTAGATGAGACAAACGATGCGTCTCCATGCATCCGTCTCAAAACGTGCCCAACGGCCTTCTGGGAGAGCATATCATGGCTCAACACGAAGCGGTGCAGCGGTCCCCCAAGCAGACTCGACGACGGATCGCGGGGGTTGGTGAAAGCATCGGCGCGGACCTTACCGGGAGCCGAACCGTTCACCAGGGGCGGCTGCTTCTCCTCCTCCTCCTCCACCACTGAGGAGGAGTAGGGGAGGGGCGGCGATGCCGGCGCCGGATCGGAGGTGGCCGACTTCTTCGGCGACTCCGCACACGGCTCCTCCTCGGTCTGTGGCGCCAGCGGACGGACGCACGCGGGAAAAACCGCACCGAGCCCATGGCATTAGTGCGCCTGTTAAACCCCCCCAACTGTTTTGACGCGAGATATTCAAAATGTTTGCACGGTAGGGGGCACAGGTGGTGCATCGGGGGCCAGTCGTCTCAGTCAGTCGAGCCATGGCGCCTGCTGGGTCTGTCCCGTGACCTCCTGCCAGCGGGCGTTCCGACACTTCACGTGGCCTTAACGTGCAAATAAGCCTGGCACAAGCGCAGTGGTGATGTCACCGCCACTTAGTGGCGAATGGCGGTTGTTGTTGTTTGACGGAGGTCGCCCATGTAAAAGAGAATCGAGGCCTCAGTGGGTTACTGCGTGTATCTACAGCCATTTTGTCAATCCACTGCTGGACCAGTGCCTCCCCCCCACTCCGCGCGGGCTGCGGGGGCGTTTTTGACCACACTTCACCACGCTGGCCATGACAGCGTCGGCGAAGGCGGAAAGTAAAGGTGGGAGCACAGAAGAACAGCACAACAATGGATTTCGCTGCACCGCCCTATACTGCCCACCACGTAAAGCCTGCGACCCTATAACCACCTGCGGGCGCATGGTGGTCATTACCGCGTGAAATAAAGCCGACTATCATGACGACGGTGACGATGACAATGACGACAATGACGACAGGACAGACGTTACGTAAGAAGTCGGCATCAGCAGTGGGCCTGCGCCACATCCCAATATTTGTCATCGCTGGCCAGCCGCCGGGGGTGGGGGGGGGGTTTATTTTTCCCGAAAGGGCTCCGACTGACCTACGCGGTGGGGAGGGGGGAGGGGCGGTCACCTCGTAAAACAAAAACGCCGGGTCGGTGACGATTGGATGCTCACCTCAAACCTCTTGTCGCCGCTGTCGCTCACGATGCCCGAGTCTGGTCTCCAGCTACGCTCGCGGACAGAATCCTCCACGCTGAGTCGGTGGGACGGTGGAACACACGCGCGCACACACACACACGCACACACACGCGCACACACACACACGTCGCGCGGACAAAACAACAACAGCAAAAACGATTGGTGCAGGGGGGACATATTTTAACCGGTCTTGCGCCTCCCCTAGGTCGACTCAGCCCTAAATGAGTGTCTTTCACGAGTTTCTTTTATGGTACAGTGGGGAGCCAGTAGTGTAGTGGTCAGCGCGCTGCGCTACAAACACGGTAACCAGAGTTCAATTCCCGCTCATGGGCAACACGTGACGATTATCTGAACCGGTCCTGGGCCTCCCCTAGGTCGACTCAGCCTCAAATGAGTACCTGGTGCGGTGTGTGAAATCATCGCCACTGGGGAGACAAAGGCAGGCCGAGTAGGATATTGCCCGCACAGCCCCTCGTGCGCTGTGACGGCCTTCATAGGTGCTCGCTGACACCACACCACTTGCCCCAACAGTCTCTTGAGGTTACCCGGGGAAATTTGTCTCTTGACACTCACCAGCTGTCCACGAAACGCTTGGGGATGGGGCGTTTGAGCTGCTCGGGCGTCTCGAAGGGCTCGTAGCGGCCCTCGATGCGGCACGCCTCCACCGTCAGGAACTTCATGATGTGCACCTTGCCCTTGACGCACACCTGCACGGGCCCCGCACATGCCAAGACGCACGCACACCCACCCCGCCATGGCGGTGAGCAACCCGGGATGCCACCCTCCCCCCCCCCCCCGCGCCCCCCCCCGCCAACCTCCCCAAACCCCTCATCTCCAAACGACAAGTTTATCCCAAATGGCCGCTGCTAGACTCCCCGCCCACGCCCGTAAATCGAGAACCACGTTTGTAATCGTCACGGTCCAAATTTGGCAAATTTAATTAAATTACCCGCAAATTACTCAGTGGGAATACACGCAGCAATCGGCTCCCGAAAAACGTTTGGCAGGACCCTCCTGAGAAAGAGTCGCGTGACTCGGCAAGCCTTTCCTGGGAAAGCAAGCGTAACGGCACATGTCGATGCTGCGGTGGCTGAGATGTTAACTATCTCACCTGATATACAGGAGTTCGTGGGTTCGATCCCGCCTGTATATTTGGACGTTCTCCCCGTGGTCGCGTGGATTTTTCTCTGGGTCCTCCGGTTTTTCCCTCCACATTTAGAAACAACTTGCGTTTTGAGTATTTGGCTGCTATACATTTCCACGCGATAAGTCAATTAGTTGAGCTATCATTTGTGGACAGGTCGTGTCTAAAAAAGAAGCTATAGAGCTCAGTGGGGCATTACCTGGTAAGATAACAAAAAAATTCGATTTAAAGCTTTCGTGACTGCAGGGATTCATCTTCTTGGTTCTTTCGGTAAAGTCACGTAGAATGGAAATAATAAAATAATAAAAATATAACATAATTAAAGAATTCTCACGACGTTTCGGCCACAACGCAAGCAGCCGTCCTCAGGTGAAGAACAGGTCTGTCGGGGAGACAGCGTCTGATTCAGACGCTGTCTCCCCGACAACGCAAGCAGCCGTCCTGCTTGCGTTGTGGCCGAAACGTCGTGAGAATTATTTTATAATGTTTTATTTTTATTATTTTATTATTTCCATTCTACGTGACTTTACCGAAAGAACGAAGAAGATAACAAAACATTGTTTAGTTTAAATGCTAATGACAAGAACAGCAACCAAGTATCCGCGATTTCAGCTCACGGCGGTTGCGCTGTCGTATTCAATTACAACCGGCGGCAGCTCCTGCGGAGAAGGGCCCAGCTAGCGGTGCCCCGGGGGGGAGGGGGGTAGGAACACGCACCTGGGCGGGGGGCAGACGCAGCGGGTTGTTGTCCAGCTGGATGACCTGCAGGCCGCGCAGCCGGCGGTAGCACAGCGGGATCTCCGTCACGCGGTTGCACGCAAAGTCCAGCGAGACGAGGGGCAGCCGTGACAGCTCTGCAAAGCGCACGGGGACGGGCACAGGGGGCACGGGCGGCGGTTCGGGTTTTCATGCCGGGCGGAGCAAAGGTGGCGCTGCTTGCCTGCTGAGTTATGCTGGGAGGTCCTGGGTAATGGAGAGTGGTGCTGAAGGGTGATGTTGGGTGACGCAGGATGGTGCAGGATTTGGGCTGGGTGGGTCAAGGTAGTGCTTAGTAATGCTCGGTGCTACTGGGGGGTGCCGGATGTGCTGGGTGGTGCAGGATTGGGCTGGGTGGTGCTTGCTGGTATAGGGTGGTGCAGGGTGGTTGTGAGTGATACAAACAGAAGTATGAGCTGCTGCTGGGTAAGGGAGTGGTACGGAGTGGCACGGAGCGTGCCAGCTTTTCACAGGATTACAACCGGCATCGCTGGCCGGCGTTGCGGGGCATGGCGTGACGCGGTGAGCTGCGGTGAGCTGCGGCGAGCTGCCCCCGCGGTGCACGTACCGTCCGGCAAGCAGGTGAGCCGGTTGCGCCGCACGTTCAGCTCTCGCAGGAGGACGAGCGACCCCATCTCGGGCGGCAGGACCTCCAACTCGTTGCAGCTCACGTCCTGCGCGACAGTCGCAAAATACAAATATCCCCCCCCCCCGGTTACAGCCCGAACAAGACTGTCGGGGCACTCTATGAAGGCCGCAACGGCATACGAGCGGGTGGTGTGGCCGGCACTACGCCCGGCCGCCTTTGTCTCCCCAAGTGGCGATGTTTGCACACCGCACCAGGTACTCATTTGAGGCAGAGTCGATCTAAGGGAGGGCCAGGAACGGTTCAGATAACAGCCGCTGGTGTTGATCGTGATAGGGAATCGAATTCGGGGTCGGCGGGTTCACAGCACAGAGAGCTGACCGCTTCACTACCGCTCCTCACAAAGATCCCCCATATAGCCTTAACAGACTGTAGGGGCAAGTGCTGTTAGCGAGCACCTATGAAGGCCAAAACGGTACACGAGCGGGTGGGTGGCCAGCACCACGCCCGACCGCCTTTGTCTCCCCAGTGGCAATGTTTACACACCGCACCAGGTACTCATTTGAGGCTGAGTCGACCTAGGGGAGGCCCGGGACCGGTTCAGATAATCGTCACTGGTGTTGGCCGTGAGCGGGAATCGAACCCGGGTCGCTGGGTTCATAGCGCAGCGCGCTAACCGCTGCACTACCGCTCCTCACACACACACACGCACGCAAGCAAGCACGCACACGCGTGGGGGAAACCAGGCAGCAGCTACCAACTCATCAAAGCGGAAAGTTGCAAAACATATCCAACGATAAATTTGCCGGGTTGTTGGCAACACTGCAACCATCGCCAGTCACGTTGCCGTTACACGCAGCGTCCACAAGAGGGGGCCGCAAGGCACGCAATGGCTGCACGTGGACAGACAGACAGCCCGTCAACAATCCAATGCTGGATGAGGGCCCTTCCCAGGCCATCGACTGGAGGAATCCGATGAGCTACAAAGCTCTTTTCACAGATGTCCAAGGGCTCGGCCCGAGCTTCGCCAGGTTGGTTAAGAGTGGGTAAGGTCAAGGAGGGGGGAGCAGCGAGGGCATCGTAGTGTGGAGCAACAATGGATATCTTGCTAATTCTAGATTTGAAGCTTTCGTGACTGCAACCAGGTGAGAGCCGCGATGGGTAAAAGCCTGGATCAGGCGAGAGCCTGAACCAGCTAAGAGCCTGAATGGATGATAGCCTGAACAGGTGAATGCTGGACAGGTGAGAGCCTGAACAGATGGGAGCCTATACACGTGAGATTCTGTACAGGTGAGATCTGGACAGGTGAGAGCCTGAACAGATGGGAGCCTGGACCAGGTGAGAGCCTTGAGCCGCTGCTTGAAGGTGGATGACGGTGCCTTGATGGTGATGCTGCTGCTGCTGCCGCTGTGCGTGGTGCAGCTATGGAGAAACGCCACTCAGCCAGGGGCATGGTAGATTGTCGGTGGTGTATTCTTAGGTTTTTTTCCGGTAAAGTCACGTAGGTAAAAAATGAAATAAAAATTCATAAAAATAAAATAATAAAAATCACGACCTCACTTGATACAGCAAATCGGGCTGTGATGGTCCCACCTGATGACGGAGACTTGTGTTGCCTCCGAAACGTCGTGATTTTTATTATTTTATTTTAATTAATTTTTATTTCATTTTTTACCTATCCTGCTAGTCGCCACGCGGCCTCACGGCTTACGGCAAATATATCAAGCAATACCACACATATGCTTGGTTCTTCCGGTCAAGTCACGTAGAAGGGAAATAATAAAATAATAAAAATATAAAACAATTAAATTCTCACGACGTTTCGACTGCAACACAAGCATTCATCATCAGGTGTGAAATCCACAGCAAGAAAATTTGAAAAAAGTGGCGGTTTTTTTTCTTAAATCAAAATTCAATACCACACGGTTTGGATTTATATAGGACAGTGTCTAAATGCCAACGCATCTCCAGATGCTGCATGGAAACAGTGGGGATATTTATTTTGTAGAGAGGCAGTCCCGTCAGACAGGAAAAATCTAAAGTTGCCGTCGGATCTAGATTTGAACAGGGGGAGTTGGCAGCACAGATGACTGGGGGGGGCGGGGAAAGGTGGTTCTAGACAACAAGGGCAGCAGAGGAGAATGAGCGAACTCCTAGAGTGAGCTGAGAGGGAAGAGGGGCGAGCGAGTACATGGGGGGTGGGGGGATCTTGAATGCACCGCAGTGGTGAGATGTTAACTCCCTCGCCTGGTATACAGGAGGTTGTGGGTTCGATCCAGATCCTGACGCCTGCTGTATAATTTGGAGTTTGCGTGTCTCTCTCTCTCCGTGGTCGCGTGGATTTCTCCTCGGGTCCTCCGGATTTCCCCCCCACATTTAGAGTCAACATCCCGCGTTTTAAGGGTATTTGGCCGCTATAAATGTCCACACGGATAAGCACACTTTCTTGAGCCATGAACTGTGGCCAGGTCGAACTGTATAGCTCAGTGATTAAAGGTGCGATCTTGAAATCCATCCGGGATGAGGGATTGAGAGCCGGCGGAGGGATTGTGGCCAAGTGGTTTCGTTCACGGGAGTCGGCTAAACATCATCCCCGCGCTCGTCAGCAGAGCGGCCAAACTGTCTTGTTTGGCTGAACCTCTTTTGCACCGGACGTAGCCAACCGTGCTAATAGGAGGTGCCGGGCAAAGGGCAACAAACTCATTCCAGTTCATTTGCCGCCGACGATTTGACGCGAAGCGGTGCCGTCCGCGGGACCCGCTGGGCCGCGCTGGTCGAGGGAGGAGCCGACGCTGCTGGGTGGTGGTGGTGGTGCGTGTACGCGTGTGTTTATTAAACGGAACATTGGAGCTTTTCATGCGGACGTAACGCGACTTGACGCGAACGTCTAAAAGGAGGCTGGCTAAAAAGACACGCCAAGTCAGCATATAAAGAGGCCGGGTGGCAGGGAGGGAGGGCCAGAGAGAAACGGCTCCCTGGCGAAAAAGAAAAAAAAAGATCTCAGTTTTGACTTGGTGGTTTCACGGCACTGCGGCTTGTTAAACCAGGACAATAATAACTAAAGCGAGCGTTTCAAAGGCCAAGCTGGGCGGCGCGGGCTGCGATCTCCGCATTTGGGAGATTCCCGCGCCGAACAAAATCGCGGGTTAACGGCCTCCAGCCGCTACCCCGCTAGCGGCGCGCGGCATTCCCCACGGAGGAAGGCCAGGAATCGTCCACGCGCCATCTGTGCCCCGCAGATTCACACAGGACCCCCCCCCCCTCCACTCCGAGTGCAGAACAAGCCGAACGTTCGGCGGGGGGGGGGGGACGTGAGGCAGGGGAAAGGGGTGGGCAGGAGGGGGTTACAGGAACCCACCCCACACCATCACCCCATCATCACCGCGCCCCACGCTCGCTCCCCTGAGAATCTTCCCTTAAACCGGCCCCTCCGACAGGGCGGCCGTGTGTTCGATTCCCAGCGGTGCCCTTCATCAACGGACCACGTGAAGCAGGAACGGCGGCATCCGTAGCTACAGCAGCGACGGGGATGTTATAACAAGGTCCCGTTTCGATGAAATATCTAGCTTGCTTTTATACCCTTGGTGGACGCGAGACACCTTACAAGGAGTAGTGTGTCTGGCTGAAGCCGAGACGTCATCCAATCGTGTGTGGCAGAATTGACAATTTACATTTGATGCAAATGTTATGCTAACATTACAGCTTGGGTAACTGCTCAGGGGGAGCTGCATCGTTAACTCATAACACCCCGAATGAATACGCATATCCAACGACTTACGATTACGCGTCACGATTCGGCGTCGCAAATTCGATCAAAAAGTTCCTTGTAAAAGGTTTCTATTTGGTGTTTGAACATCTTAACACCTGCTTTGTTAACAGAAAGGGAAAACCTATTCTTATTTTTTCAGAAAAAGTTTTATTCCCTCGTCGCGCGTGGACCTTTTACGTGAACCCCAAGGCTTGCTTGTCGATCGTGAGCATGACACATCCACGAGCAGCGGAGATCGACAGTGCGGGTTGCTGACGACAGGGAGCATAGATCTTGAAGCACGGGAGTATTGTACAACAACGGGCTGCCAAACAACAACCTGCAGTTGATGTCGGCCACCCATCCAAGCAATATCCACGGCTCAACTTCCGAGAACCAAATTTCGATTTAAAGCTTTCGTGACTGCAGGGATTCATCTTCTTGGTTCTTTCGGTAAAGTCACGTAGAAGGAAAATAAAAAAATTATAAAAAGAAAACATAATAAAATAATTCTCACGACGTTTCGGCCACAACGCAAGCAGCCGTCTTCAGGTGGAGAACAGGTCTGTCAAGTAGACAGAGTCTGTTATGTTTTCTTTTTATTTTATTATTTTATTATTTTCCTTCTACGTGACTTTACCGAAAGAACCAAGAAGATGAATTCCGAGAACCACTCGCATATTCACGACGATTCGGTCGCGAGGCCCAACCGCAAAGATGAAATAAGCGCAGAGTCAGGATGCCACCCCGAGACTCCTTGAGAGCGCACGCGAAGGCTCGCGCCGGTCTAAGGCCCAGCCGAACGCCGCCCCTCCGTCACCCCCCTTCGGTGAGGCCCTACGGAGGTCAGCCTCATTACAAGGTCACGTAAGCGCATTCCTCGCGGCCGCAACGCTCGCCACCGCCGACATGCGCACGCCCCGTGCGTGCTCGGAGCCCCCTGTATGAGGCAGCAGCGTCACTCCCGTCGGAAGCTCTGGGAATGACATTTGACCCTTCCGACTCCGCGGCACGTGGCGGCTGGAGCCGCCTGCTGCAAGGTGGTTTACTGGCCGGGTGTTTGCCCCCGGAGGTCATCGGGGGGTGGGGGTCACACTGGTCCGAACACAACAACATAGGTCACCGGACGAAGCGTCGCTGAGCTTTAGCAAAGGAGTTATCGAACGTTCATTGACTTTTCATGAACCCCAGACACACTTTGATGTCGATTTTCTGAGCAGGCTATCTGGTTACTGGTGCGATAGGACCAGACCTGAAGAATCATCCAAACGTCTTAACTTCACTCAAATAGCATAGGCAACTACATCAACTGCCAAGCGTAACAATCTGGCCAGCTTGATGTTGTTGGTTGATGTTGCTGGTGTCCAGTTATCTCAAGAGGAATGGTGTAAGAAATCTAAAACCTTGGAATGTATTGTGTGAAATGCATGGCTATAAGGGCACCATGGTGGCGAGATGTTAACTCCTTCGCCTGGGTCTGCAGGAGGTCGTGGGTTCGATCCAGACCCTGACGATGCCTGCTGTATATTTACAGTTTGCGGGTCTCTCTCTTCCTGTGGTCGTGTGATTTTTCACTGGGCCATCCGGTTTCCCCCTCCACATTCAGAAACAAAGTGTGTTTAGAATATTTGGCTGCTATAAATTTTGCTTCCGAAAAAGAGCTGGATAGCTCAGTGGGCCTTACCTGGTAGAATTAAAAATAGTTGAGTAGTTTAATAGTTTTTTTTGTAGGGTTTTGTTTTTGGCAGATTATTTGTTTTATCGAGAAGCGCTGTTTATTTTAAACTCGATGCGTGTTGCTGTTGTGTTGCGAAAGGTCCAGCGCTGAACCTTTTGCACACAGTCCACGAGTTACACCCCCAAATCTCATTTGCAAAGGGACTTTTGTATCAATGGGTTCTCACAGATGGTTACAGGCAAAGGCACATCATCACATATGTAAGAACACGTGACGACGATGTTCAACAGGGTGATGCCAGCACACTGATGGTGGACAAATAGTGGTGGTAATGACGTGTATAGGTTGATGATGGTGGCGATGTGTATGAACGGTGATTGCGGCGATGACAGCGATGGTGGTGGCGATGTGTATGGATGGTGATGATCGTTATGGTGTCAGTGTGTATAAACGTTGATGGCAGTGATGATGGAGATGGATATGGATGGTGATGATAGTTATGGTGGCGATGTGCATGGACGGTGATGGCAGTGGTGATGATGGCGGTGATGTGTATGGATGGTGATGACGGTGGTGGTGATGATGGCGATGGCGATGTGTATGGATGGTGATGGCGGTGATGTATATGGACGGTGATGGTGGCGGTGGTGGTGATGTGTATGGACGGTGGTGGTGGTGGTGATGTGTATGGACGGTGATGATGGCGGTGGTGGTGTGTATGGATGGCAATGGTGGTGGTGATGATGGCGGTGATGTGTATGGACTGTGATGGTGGTGGTGTGTATGGACGGAGATGGTGGTGATGGCGGTGGTGGTGGTGTGTATGAATGGTGATGATAGTTATGGTGGCGATGTGTATGGACGGTGGTGGTGGTGATGTTGGTGGTGTGTATGCATGGTGATGGTGGTGGTGATGTGTATGGACGGTGGTGGTGTTGGTGGTGTGTATGGACGGTGATGGTGGTGTGTATGGACGGTGGTGGTGGTGGTAATGTGTATGGACGGTGGTGTTGGTGGTGGTGATGATGGCGATGGTGGTGGTGTGTATGGACGGCGATGGTGGTGTTGGTGGTGTGTAAGAGAGCTCACCAGCTCCAGCAGGCTGCACAGCTGTCCGATGTTGGGTGGCAAGGTACCAATCTTGTTGTTGCTCAGCACCAGGACCTTGAGCATGGGCAGCTTGCACACGTGGACGGGCAGTGAGCCCAGCTGGTTGCGGCTGTCACACGACAAGACAAGACAAGGTCCCCCGTACAGCCTTAAAATGTTGAAGAGGCAAGTGCTATTAGCGAGCACCAATGAAGACCGGCACGGCAAACGAGGGGGCGGGTGGCCAACACTACGCCCGGTCGCCTTTGTCTTCCCAGCGGCGATGTTTACACACCGCACTGGTTACTGGTTTCAGGCCGAGTCGACCAAGGGTAGAGGCCCAGCACCGGTTCAGATAATCGTCACTGGTGGTGACCGTGAGCAGGAATCGAACTCGGGTCGCCGGGTTCGTAGCACAGCACACTAACCGCTACACCACCGCTTCCCACACGCGTACACAGTACATAACACCCCACACACACACACTCAACCCCTTCTGTCGCCGGCAGTGTTAATTACTGCCCGTCCTCACACACTGAAAAAAAAGAGAAATTTTAATGAGAAAGGGTTTTGGTTTTATTTGTGCGGTGGGAGGAACATGGGGGTGTGGGAGCGAAGTCCCTTCTCTCTCGCCAAGCACGCGGAGTCACCAGGCGCCCCCCGTGGAGGTAGTTTCTGCCCGTTGGGGAGAAACAAAACAAAAAACCCCCGTTGTCGGCTTGCTTAAACGTGCGTTCTTTTGGCGAAGAGTGTCGTATTATTACGGTGTAAAAATACAAAAAGCATCTCTCTCCGCTTAGCAACTCGTTGTATCTCTGGAATCTGTCCTGGGGGTGAGGTTGGAAGAGGCAGGCAAGCGCTGGCGATGGTGCTCGCACATTAAAGAGGCAGAGGGCACGGCTGCCTAAACAGGTCCCCCGTCTTAACAGCCAGCGAAACGAGCAGCTTAACCCCGCAAGGGGTTTGCAACGCAATGGTGAGGACGACGCACGCTCGAGAGAGAGGCACACGGTGGAAAGACATGGTTTTGGCTGTCATGAAAAAGTCAGAGCGGGGCAAGGGCAGGATACGTTGCTGGTCAAGGCCCAGAGTTGCCGAGCCGACCGTGTTGAGAAGCTGGTTCAGGATCTGTTGTTCGGGAGCTGTTGTTTTGGATCTGTTGTTTGGGATCTGTTGTTTGGGATCTGTTGTTTGGGATCTGTTGTTTCGGCCACCTGAGATTAAACCAAGTCCTGTCCCTTCACAGGCTCCCTCTGTCCGTACCCCCCGCATTGATTTTAAGATTCTCTTTCTCGTGTTCAAGGCCTTAAATGAACTTGCTCCTCCCCCTACATTCCGCCTCCCTGCATTCATGACCTTCCTTTCAGCCACATATATTCCATCACGAGTCATTAAGATCCTCAGATTGTGCATTGCTCACCGTCCCTGCGGTCTCCGGCTTCACACTTGGGGGGGGGGGGGGGGGGCGGGGGTGATCGTTGCCTCTGCAATTGCGGCAGCTCAACTCTGGAACTCCTTGTCCCTTCGAGGCCAGGGGACTTCCGGGACACTTTACAAATCTTCAAATCTCGACCAAAAAAACGCATCTGCTTAAAACGGCTATCTCTCTTTTTAGTTACTTTCAAACGTCTCTCTCACTTCTACTTCTTCTTTCCCCGGTCGATGTTAAAATTGCTTTCGCCTTTCCATGGCATAGCGCCCTGAGAACGATCGTTTAAGGGCGCTTTATACATTAAAATCATGATTATTAAGTGCAGGGTCGGGCGGTAGGATGAACTGCGCGCAGCAGAAGTCCCGACGGGGAATAATTTTTTGTTTTCCTTTCCAAGGGGCACGGACACGCGATCGCAAGTTCAAACGCGCGCGCTTCAGGAAGAACGTTTACAGAATTAAGCAAACGCCGGGGGACGAACAGAGCCTCGCGGGGCCGGCAAAACACCGCTGCAGACAGTTGCAGTGAGAAGAACTTTGGCCCAAGGCGCATGCCGCCCCCCCTGTCGTCCCCATCACACCCCCCCCCGCCCTCCGCTCCCTGTAAACAGAAGCGCGAGTGTTTTGTGAAAAGCGTCGAGAACGACGGCAGCCCCGGGCCAGGGCAACAGCGAGCGGAGCTCAACGGCCTCGGCGTGGGTGGCGATGATGCTCGCTCGCTCACGGAAACGCAGGGGGGGGGGGGGGGGGGGCTCTGTTCAGCTGCCGCAAATAAATTATTAACTTTTCAGGTCAACAGTAGGCAACGTACGTGCGCACGCAGGAACGCGTTGCGGGCGCCTGCCACCGCCACCGAGGCCATTCCCTCGGTTTGTCGTCGGCTACTTCTCCCCGTTGACTCACCCACCCCGCACGCACTCACTCCAGAAGCGCCCGTTGCACACGCACGCGCACACTTGACGAGCCATTCTCCAGCCGCTACACTATCATCATCATCAGTTGAATTTCTGCTCGTCATCTGACAAAGCAGTCCAGCGAGCGAGCGCCAGCGGTCGCGTGCTGCGAACACGAAGCGACTTCTCCGAGGCGAGGGCTGGCGCACGGACACGGCTATTTTAAGACCAGGCACGAGGAGGGGCGCGGGCATGCTGCCCCACACAGTGGATGGGGGGGGGGGGGCAAGGGGTGGTGGCTCACACAAACTTTTGTTAGACCTCCGATTATATTAACGGGCTGTGTGGCGGCAGCGGCGCAGAGTTGGCAGTACAGCAAGCGGATTACGTATACCCGGTGTGCGCAGCTTTGCGTACTGTCCCCGACTACTCCGGTTTCCTTCCACGCGAAGCCGAACGCTCACACTAAATGGGGTTGGTCAAACGTCCCAACGCGGCGTGCTTGTCGACTGGAATCATAAAACTGAGAAATTATATCCTGGATAAATGAAAGGCAATATTATTTTTATTGTTTACTCGGCGGGGTAGGAGCAGCGGTGCAGTGGCTTGCGCACTGCACCACAAATTCGGTGGAGCGTGATATCAAAGCCGATCCTGGGTACCACCCTTTACGAACCCACACTATCCAGCAAGGTGAAGTATGGTAGTAAAAAAACCCACAATTTTCTAGTGACGGTCTGCTCACAGAGGGCCGAACATTACTATTGCTGTTCTCAAGATGGAGACGACGATGACAATGATCGTGATGATGGCAACGGTGCTGTCACTGCTGGTTAGCAGCGGCGGTGCTCGCACGGCACTTCCGCGGACGCGCCCTGCCATGCCGCTTCAGTTCACAATGTTCGCTCCGCTGCTGTGCAGCCATCTCTTCAGCTGACGATCAAGTTTCCCCGACGGCCTGGGGAGCTCTCTCGGCACGCCATGAAAACGTGGCGTGACGACACGCGGTCATCTCAACTATGCCTCTCTCTCTCCTCCAGGAATGCGCAGCTCTGCAGAGAGCCGGGCACGGGCATTGCAAACCCCAGGCTCAGGTCTCAGCATCACAAACCCTGCCTCCTACAATCAGCATCACAGACTCTGCCTCCCAGAATCAGCATCTCAAAACCTGCCTCCTACAATCAGCATCACAGACTCTGGCTCAAATACTCAGCATCTCAAACCCAGACTCCACGCTCAGCATCACAAACTCTCACAAACTCTGCCTCCCATACTCAGCATCTCAAACCCAGGCTCCCACGCTCAGCATCCCAAACTCTGCCTCCCATACTCAGCATCTCAAACCCTGGCTCCCATACTCAGCATCACAAACTCTGGCTCCCATACTCAGCATCTCAAACCCTGGCTCCCATACTCAGCATCACAAACTCTGGCTCCCATACTCAGCATCACAAACTCTGCCTCCCATACTCAGCATCTCAAACCCTGGCTCCTACAATCAGCATCACAGACTCTGGCTCAAATACTCAGCATCTCAAACCCTCGCTCCCACGCTCAGCATCAAACCCTGGCTCCCATACTCAGCATCACAAACTCTCACAAACTCTGGCTCCCATACTCAGCATCTCAAACCCTGGCTCCCATACTCAGCATCACAAACTGTCGCAAACTCTAGCTCCCATACTCAGCATCACAAACCCTGGCTCCCTCACTCAGCATCACAGACTCTGGCTCCCACGCTCAGCATCATAGACTCTGGCTCCCACACTCGGCATTCCATGTCTCATCCAAGAGCAAGGAATATTTCTTGCCAGGGAGGTCTCCCCCAGGCATAGAGCGCAGCCACCACTCCTCATCAACATCTGCTGCCACCTGTCCCACTGTTGCTGCAACTCTGCTGCTGCAATGCTGCTGCTACTGCTGCTGTAGTAACACCACCGTTGTAACGCTGCTGCTGCAACGCTGTTGCGAGTGTAACACGGCTGCTGCTGCTGCTACAATGCTGCTGCTGGAATGCTACAGCTGTAATGCTTCTGATTCAATGCTGCTGCTGCAATGTTACCGGCTGCTGGTACAACACTGATGCTACTCTAACGCCCATGCTGCACTGCCGCTGCTGTATTACTGCTGCTGCTGCTACGCTGGAGGCCGCTCACCTGAGGTTGAGATAGGTGAGCACCTGCAGGTTTCCAAGGGGATCCGGGATCGACTTGATGCAGTTGTGGTACAGGTAGAGCGTTTCCATGGAGACGTAGTGACAGACGTCCAGCGGAACCTCGCTCAGCCGGTTCCGGGAGAGGTCTACGGGATGGCACGCAGACAGACGGACAGACGACGACACGGAATCAATCGGCAACACCAATTATTCAAGCGACATCCCTCGTTCAACGCGGCAGTAGTAGATGCGTTCCCGAAAAATGCCACGTCAAGTGAATAACCGCGTTAAGCAGGGAATCGCTGTACGAGCCAAATCACATTTGCACCGTAAGGTCAGCCTGCAGTCACCCCATGGAGCGGACAAAGAACTGAGACGAGGGTACGCCACCGCGTACCGCATCACGTCACGTGCAGCATCATACCACTCAGACGTGTGGCTCAAAGTGGTTCGTCGTCGACTGCTCAGTAAACATGTTATAATCATGGCGAGTGATTCCGTGTTGTAACAACGGTGCAAGGTTCCATGTTATAACAACAGTGTGCTATTCCGCGTGATAACAACGGTGCGTGGTTAAGCGTTATAACAACGGAGAGTGGTTTCGCGTTATATCAACGGTGTGCAGTTCTGTGTTGTGCGAAAAGTGTTCCCCAACGGAGGAACCGCTTCAGACCTAAAAGGCGTTGTAGTGTGAATTCATTACCCGCTTCCAGTTTGCATTCACCTTTCTGTCCAACTAGCTTCTAATTGTTAAAACGAAGTGTTAAGAGGAGTTGGTTTTATTTGTCGCTTTCAGGTGGTGCCAAAACTGTGCCCGCATTCATTGGTTATCAAATTGTGCACATCGGAATAGACCGTGTCATTTATGCAAACTACACAAGTACAGAAATATACGCCAACACTCCTTTTCGTGGAGCGAGCAAAAAGAATACAAACGAGATGGAAGAAAAAAAACGAATTCTGTAACCGGAATCACGATTCGTCGTCACAAATCGAAGCATCGCGCGTCACTGAACCGCTAGAGGGAATGACACCAGATCGTAACGGAGGCGCGGTTTTTTGCGAGCGGCGTTGACACAAGCCGTTGAGCCGTGCCCCAGAGGTTCCTTCTGACTCTTTCTGCGCACACGTCGCGAATCGAGCGAGAGCGACCTCGCCACGCCGAACCGGCATCGTGCGCACGCCGAGGCCAACGGTTACAGCAGAACCCACCGCGATAACAAAAAAAAAAACTAAATCGGCCAACACTACGATACCTCCTTTACAAGTGGCAAAATATAGTAGTAGGTTTTTACCCTTTAAACTGGGACAAAACTGACACCTTTATACAAGGCATCATGTTTGCAATAACCGCAACACAAGCAATCAAAATGCAAACAAAAAGAAACAACTCTGATAATGGTAATGATATGCACTGTCCTTGAAGTTGATTGGTCCGCACCCGAGACAGCTTTCCTTAGAGCCTAGTCTCACTTGGTTTTGGACCAGATGACGCCAAAAGGAGTACAACTCAAAAACAGTGCACTATCAGAGTATTGAGAGCAGTTTGCATTTTGACTGCTTGTGTTGTGGTTATTGCAAACATGATGCCTTGTATAAAGGTGTCAGTTTTGGACCAGTTTAAAGGGTAAAAACCTACTACTAAAATCGGCCAAATCGAAACACAACACGTTTTCGGAACAACGCAAGACTCGGATAGCGATCGCCTAAAAAAATACACCGACTCTGCACATTTTTACGTGGGCCCGCCTGAATATGCGGGCCACATGGCCCGAATTGTTGACGTGTTCTCGCGTGCAATGCGTGGCGGGGGGTATGGGTCCTGTGACCCGCAGGCTGTATGCGGCCCCCTGTCACGAGAGGCATAAATCCATCACGCGAACTCCGGTCGTCCGTGCGGCGGTGGCTTTTGGCAGGCCATCGAACGAAGACGGCCGCTGGAATCAGGTGCGCTTCCGCGGCCGTCTGGAACGTCTTTCCTTACGGTATTAGGAAGCCACTTGGAGCTACGCATTTTTAAATCATCAGTGAGTCAGTCTCAGGGGTTCGGCGGAGGTTAAGACACACACCCGACTCATATGATTCGTGATGACACGTCCGGCTTGGCCAAAAAAGTAGTTCTACAGAAATGAGTTTGTCAATCTAGATTCTAGATTGACAAACTCATTTCCGGCACCTCCGATTAGCACGGTTTGGCTACAGTACGGTGAGAAGGACGTTCGACAGTACATACGAGGCATATCATTTCGAAACGGCCCACAAACGATATTTATCCATCAATAAGAGCATCTTGGCCGCACTGATCTGTTGCTGAAGGGGGAATATTTTCAACTCGGCCACACCGACTCTCGACTCTTTCCTGGGTTCTTTCCTGAAGAAACTTGGTAAAGTTTAAAGTGAAACGTCACGTCTCCAATTGCAAACATTTTGGTTGTGAGAATTGTTCTTTGGCCTACTGGCGAGCCGACACGATAACAATCGGGGCCGTTAATTGCTTCCACACGTGACAATTTACTTTGTTTGGCCGCGTCGGACGGAGGAGGGTTTCGCAACACAACATTTGTCCGGCTCATTGCGTGGCCTAACCCAAAAGTCAATTACGAACATTGACATTCGAGTTGACATTGTTAGCACTGATTTAACACGGAGGGCTATCGCGGCCAATATTATTCATAATAAAGGTCGGTTGTAATATACCAGCGAAACGTCGTAATCAAATTCTAAATGTTGCGCGTTTACTCTCCAACACACCGGGCGTTACCTTCTTGGTTCTTTCGGTAAAGTCACGTAGAAGGGAAATAATAACATAATAAAAGTAAAACATAATAAAATAATTCTCACGACGTTTCGGCCACAACGCAGTCTTTCCGACAGACCTGTTCTTCACCTGAGGACGGCTGCTTGCGTTGTGGCCGAAACGTCGTGAGAATTATTTAATTGGTTTATTTTTATTATTTCCCTTCTACGTGACTTTACCGAAAGAACCAAGAAGATGAATCCCTGCAGTCACGAAAGCTTTAAATCGAAATGTAATATACCAGTGAAACGTCGTACTCAAATTCTAAATGTTGCGCGTTTACTCTCCAACACACCGGTGTGCTGAAGTAGTAAATAAATGGCACGTTGTGTTTACGTGGCAAACCCATACACTAAATCGGCCGTGTGGGGTGGTTGGTGGTGGGTTTAACAACAGATTTATTTTTACGCGATCTAACCCAAAGCGCCCCCCCCCCCTTTATTACGAATTGCCAGCGCTCTCGGTCACTTCCGTCAATGCGAGAGGCTCTTGCAGTGACACAAGAGTGACTGAGGCGCGTGCGTGCGTGTTAGTGTGCGGTAGCCCGCCAAAGGTATTCGACGACAAGGCCTATTCGGCCCTCAGGAAGGTGAAGCGTTTCCTCCTCCTCCTCCACTCCCACCCCTTCTGTAACACGACCGGACGCACCGGGCGTCTGCATTTGGATTATCTTCCTCCGCTGACCGACGGAGCGTAAACAATGTTGCTTCGGTGCGAATGATTGGGCGACCTTCTCTGGTCGACACGTCCAGCCTCGCCGCCTCCCCACATCGCCAACTCCAAGCCGCGGGGAGTTCTCCAATTATTACATTAATTAGAACCAATGAGGGCCTGCGACAAAGACATCAAATAAGTACCTCTGCGTTCATTAGATTTCGCTAGAAGCTGGGTAAAAAAAAAATATTTCACAGAACAATGAATCCCTACGCGAGCGCTGGGATTTCAAGAGCCGCTTTTTAAGGGTCACGGAGTTTTGGTGATGAGGTTGGGGGGCACCGCTGCGTCCCAACGACCCCGGCGGGGCGGGCTGGGCCAGGGTCGTGCGTTGTGGACGTTGGCAGATGTCCCGAGGCGATAGCGGTGGCGATTGCTTACATGCTTTGGGTCCGGTGCACTTTCCATGAACCCGCACTGTGTGCGCTCGCAGCAGCAGCAGCAGCAAGCGCCGGAGGAGTTTACAAAAAAAAATCCCAGCAACAAACCACGACGTCGCCAGAGCGGGACAGTACAGCTCGAATCCAATTCTAGTTTGTTTCCCCACAACCTATTTTACACGGTGGCAGTCCTATGGCTTCAGGTGTGCCGGCGGATCGTTACATCGCAGGGTCACGAGAGGTGGCGACGCCTTCATCCAGCAGTGGATCGATGTATGACTGATGATGATGAAGGTGAGCTAATGGCGCAGGGTTCTCGGTAACTTTACAAAGAGGCTCACTTAACGCACCGGCTTGCCGGGCTCGCGCGCGGATCGAATTATTATTTTATTTTGCTTCGAGCAGCCGGAACAGCTTAGCGCGGATTCCACTCCCGTCTCAAGGTTACGGGGCCTCCTCTGAAGTTTGCATTCTTCAAGCGGACGTTGTCACTGGAGGCGGCGCTGCCCTCCGCGCACGCGACACAGCGAACGCAGCCGTCTAACCTTGACCGTCGGCGGCACAGCGCGACCAACGCGCTGGCATGTGCGCGGCGTGCACAAGCACACCTTCGTTTGCAAGCGCACGTGGGCGTGCATACGTACACACGCGCGCGCGTCCATACATAGAGCCTTACCAAAGACCCCCCCCCCCAGTATGGCCTTAACAAACTGTTGGGGAAAGTGCTATTCAGGAGCACCTACGAAGGCTGGCACGGCACACGAGGGGGGCGAGTGGCCAACACCACGCCTGGCCGTCTTTGTCTCCCCAGTTGCGATGTTTACGCACCGCGCCAGGTACTTATTTGAGGTCGAGTCGACCTAGGGGAGGCCCAGGATCGGCTCAGACAATCGTCACCGGTGTTGGCCGTGAGTGGGAATCCAACTCGGCCCGCCGGGGTTCGTAGCGCAGCGCGCGAATCGCTACACGACCGCTCCCCATGAGCATTCACAGTTACACAGTCACATACACGCACGCAACGTAGCCACGCACGTGCAACATGGTAAACTCTGCGACCCGCACACTCCCACTGCTTCACCGAACTTATCATGCGGGGGTTGCGGCATGGTGGCGTGCGCCATCCAAAGGGACTTTAAGCTTCGGTAAACTATTTTCACCGCACTACATATACGTACATACCGTGCGTCGAACAAGTAACGTCACTTTGTTCACCCAGGTCAGTTTTTTTTTTCAACGAGTCTCAAGACTATTTTTC